TTAAGAGTCTTTAAAGGAACACAAAAAGCATTCAGCTATCCTTGCAAAATGCTCACAGTACGATTATGTGGCAAGCGCATGACAAGAAACCACGTTGAATAGACTGACTATATTTCCACTACCTTCTGAAGATACCAAACGTGAATTGAACACAAGAGCTCATATTTAACAGATGCGCCTTTGAGGCCCTTTGAAAGTTATTCAGCTCAACAAAAACCCATTAAACCTGACATTTTGCAGAAAGCGCAGCAGCCGGTCCTCTCTGATGGTAAAACTCATCTTTTTGTAGTTGAGGATTCTAATTTGCCACCTTACCGTGTCTGCAGCAGCACCAGCTCACTGCATGAACACGTGTAAGCTAACTTAGGTATCAAATTAAGGGAAAACTTTCACTCCATTAACCTAAATGGACCTTCAGGAACTGACTCCTTGCTAGGAGTTGGTCTAAATAAGTGTCTGCACGGGATACTCTACTATGAGATAAGGAAGCTGTCCTCACCAGTATGAGATGTATGTCTCCACGATCAAAACAACAGTGACAGCTCTTATAATTGAAGGAGCTGACCATCAAAACCATCAGATTGTACTAAAAGGTGAGACAACAGACCTTACGGGAGTTCATAAAACCTTACACTGTTTCTTTGGAGATGGACCGAAGAGCTGTAGTATCCCTCTATAGGGGGGATCAGCACATCTGTTGCAAGAAAAAAAACCCCCCAGCCCTCTGCTTTCTTCGGAATGGTACTAGAAATGTCAACTCGAAGCGGTTGTTTGTATGGTTCGTACAGCCCAAACTACTGTTTTGCAACCATACAAGAGCCCTGTATATCCTCCAGTCAACCCCACTGACTGCTCCTGCAGAGCCAAGAGTGGATGCCGCCTCCTCCTCCACCTCTTCCCTCCGAGTGATCACAGCACAGCCAAACAGATCCGACGGCATTACAAATCCAGGCTGAGGGCTGCACAGGGAATATCACCCACAGCTACGCTTCTTCGCTATCGCAGAGCTTTGTTTCTAACAGGTTTGGTTTTATGCAGATTTTTGGCTTTATGCACAGCCATTTTTGTGCTTCAGCAGACAAGTATATTGTTTAATTAACCTCAAGGGGATCTGATTAAAAAGTCAAGAGGTGAAACAACTCACATCCTAACCCACAGGTTATAACCTCTCCATGAAGAATATTTCACTAGTTTATGTAGATGATCTTGGCTCTGAACAGGGGGAGAATTAGCTAACCTCTCAAAATCCTTTCTTGCCCTGTCTTCCATAACATTAAAGCAGATCATTTCCTCTCAAAGTTTCCAACTGTAACATGGAGATGTTTAATCCTTTCACACCCCTTCGAGGTATGCAATGTTTCTTGGAGTACTTTAAGAATTGGTTTATAAGAAGATAACCTTGAACTCCACACGAAGGTAAAAAAAACAGATCTTAGTTTAGTCTCAGGAACTATCTGCAAAGTTGTTTTACTCTTCCCTTTTTTTTTTAAACCCACCTTACAAGGTTATATTGAGTAACAATAAAGTCCAACAAAAATTGCCAGTATATTGTGATTTTTAGCTTGAAACATGATCCCAAAGTGATGAAACAACTGATAAATATACTTACAATAAATAATCTGGCATTTCTGAAGTTGATGTTGGTACACTAGAATTATTGCATGTTCCATTTAAACCTGAAAAAATAAAAACTTGTTTACAGACATTCTTAAACTTTAAACCTCTATACAATTAAACTTCAAGTTCATAAACTTATCTGCAGTTTACCGAATTCTAAAGGATTTCTGTTTTGCTGTGAACTGACCAAGACAGAAGATCCACAATAAGGTGGCTGAAACTTCAAGGCTTCTCTAATATTCGTCTGTCAGCAAAACATTACCAACATTAGCCAATGCACTGAGTAGCAAAAAACCTTAATTTAATTGGTTTATAAACGCTGTCTGCAGGGTAGGATAACACCAGTATCACCACTGCTAAAGTAAAAGACAAATTTATGAGTCCAGATGAGCAGTACAGAGCGCTAAGCAAGGTGCACATTCTGTTCTCCCGATTCTACACTACACAGATTCCTACTCTTAATATTCCAGGTTCAGATTCCTATTACTACTCCAGACTCCTATCAGGTACAACAGAGAGGTTTATAAGGCATGCAGCTTTTTCCTGACATAGCCCTACTGCCCTGTAGACAAATCGAAGTGCTCTCTGCTCTATGAAGTTGAAGCAACATGAATCAAGCGAGGCTCAGCTGAGGATGTTTAGGAGTTTTAGTGAAGGGACCAAAGACCTCAGGAGGAACAGGATTCTGAATGTGAGCCTAAACCAGAGGCCATCTTCATGATAAACCAGACGCTGCATTATTAGTTTGGAGGAAGAAGGCAGTTGCATACAGGTTTCAAAAGAGGTATTTCGCACAAACTGCATTATACTGAAGGTCCTAATCAGAACTGCATCCATGAGAAGGCAGTAAAGAGGCAAGTGGAAAAGGCTGCAAAGGATTTAACTCAACTGCTTTGCAGAAGTGTATTTCTTCTTCCCTCTTCTTTCCAAGTCTGTTACTCACAGCAAGCCTTATCTTGAGGGTGCAGTTTCCCCAGATGCGCAGGAAAGGTACGTGTAAGCCCCAAGCCTCACCCATCCCTACACTACTACTTTACAATTATTACCCCAGATAAACTGCAGGGAGCACAAAATGCCCAAGTAATACAAATAGGCATGTAAAAGCAATAACCTAATTATAACTTCTTCAAAATCAACTCTTCTCTGAATTTCCACGGAAAGGCTTTCCTTGAGCAGAATGGAAGAATGGCAGAAAACCAGCATGACTATAAACACCCCAGTCGCCAGTTCCGACTGCAGACGTTTGCAGATAATTCTGCTTTCGTCCTTACCTGACCACCAGCGTGAAAGATGCAGAACGTGGGTAAGGAAGATCGTGGAGGAGAAAGGGAGAAAAGGAGATTTATTTTGCCTGTGAGTGCCACCTACTGACTGCTGAAAGGACCCCAAGGGTCCCTCCACTGCCTCTTGAACAAACCTCCCAGGAGAAACTCCTGCTTCCCTGCAGCCCCTGGCCCACCGGGGTCTTAGGAAAGGCTGTCAGCCATTTGCTGCAGACAAAAGGAGCAGGATTAGGCCCGTGCTATCCGCATGAAGTAAGGCACAGAAGGAAAAGATCCCAATTCAGATGCGAGCTGGCTGTAAAAGATCCAAGCAGCCACTGACCACATCCTGTTTATGATTACTCCCAAGTCCAGCTCGGCTTCGTTACCTCGCATACATCAGTGGTGCAGCAGGAACAAAACCCGACTCCTACTAATTAACAAAGAGCCATTCATTAAACTGTTTTTAAAGCAAAGCAGACAAGGCGATAAAGGGTCAGCAACTTCACGAAGAAAGAATTCAGGGTATTTTGGTATACTGACAATAATATACACCAAGAGAGAGAATGTGTGTGTATACATCTACCTGCTCCCATTCAAAACACAAGGTACATGGGGAAGAAAAACAACATTCACAGAAAAAACTACAAAAGAAAGATCAAAGCAGAAGAAATACCTGAAGAGTGTGGTTCTGCAGTGCCACACAATGATCAGAACTATGGACTGTCATTTAAAAAAAAAAAAATATCACTGGTGAGCAATCAAAATGCATTTTGTAGGTGATACAAAGACCATGGGGGGAAGGTGAAAGCTAATCATCACATTAACCCCAAGGCCCTGTGAAGCTCTGCTTCTCCAGGAATTTGACAAATTAGTTTCCATTTCCAGTTACTGTCCTTTTTGAGCCAAAACCAGATGATTTTCATGCACCAAGCATGAAGAGGAACTCGGCGTCAGAAAGTAGTAACGGGGCAGAAGAAAACAAGATGGATGCAAGAAGTGTAACAACAGATCGGGACTGCAATATTCCTACAGGCTGCAGGGGAAGTCCCACCGCTCCGGGGAGCGGTAAGAAAGCCTAATGAAACAGCAGAAAACAGGAGAGCTGCAGGCACTGGCAAGGGAACGGATCGCATTAGCCAACACGCGTTCTCTGCTCTAGCTTCTAAGGGTACGTACAACTGACTTAGAAATATACTGGTTTGGTGGAAAACGTTTTCATCACGTCTCAACGGGCAATGGGTTCACGGTTGTGTTAGTCCTCGAAGAAAGAAATTCAGAACGATAGTGGGATACAACAAGGAAGCGCTCTCAGTCTGAAAAGAGCTGGCTGTATGCTGCTCTAACAGCATTTATCACAACACTTATCTATCATTTCTTTGGTATCCCATATAAAAAGCTTTTGTGACTAACTTTTCATTACCAAGTTAAAAATCAATACAACAGTCATCACAATACCAAACACGAGCAGAAGAGCTGTAAGTAATCAAGCAGCACTGCTTTTTCCAACAGCCTGCCTTTCATCCCCATATATTAATACAGCTTTTAATTTAACAAGGAGAAACATGACACAGTCTGAGGCAGTTCCAAACAGCATGAAAGGTTGAACAGGAAAAACCTGATATCCTCTTTTGAGAGGAAGCCCATTTGTTGATTTGTAGGTAGGGACAGCAATGATATTTCGTTAACCACACAGTCTCTGTGAGTGGACACGCAACCTCCTTCCTCAAATAGTTTTAGAGCAGAAATTATACACAGCCGATACCAAGATTATCTTAGCACAAGCCGTACAGGAGGACCTCTCAGACTGTACATACCTGTGACCTGCTCCTGGGGAACACTAACTAAGTCAGCATTTTTTATTACTTCACAGTCCTGCTTCTCCTCTTTGCATTTCTCTTCATTTTTCTTCTCCTTTCTCTCCTTTTCCTTGTCTTTGTGCTTTTTGGATTTTTTCTTGGTTTTTACATACGAGCTGCAATTGTGCTTGCTCGTTTGGGGACAGTCTGTCGACAAAGGATGAGTCAGTCTGTCAGCTGTCTCCGGGTTCTCACAGTCTCTGCCGTTGTGAGTCAGGTCATTGCTGACATCCGAAAGGGGATCGTGAGGCCTCGGCAGCTCCAGCACCGGGAGGCTGGAGCTGGAGCTCACCGACTCCGGGAGAGCCGGCGGCAGGGCAGGGGCAGGGGTAGGGGCATCCTTCCCGTTGGAGGAATTCAGTTTCCCGTTGAAAGTAGGCTGAGTTCTGTGAGCCAAATGCGAGATCCTGGGCTTTTTGTTGGCCAGGGGATCGATAAACTCCAGAGGCTGGGATCGTTTCTGGGGAGGAAAAAGGAAATAAAAAAAAAAATTAAAAAAATCTTCCAAGTGTTGAGGCCAGAATTTTGGATGCTGTTACCACTAGGTGGTGGTGCGGTACCAGAGGACAAGGGATTATCCCCAGAAAAAGAGCCCTGCTATCGAAGAGAGCTGCCAGCAAGTGTCCCTGCTCCAGGCCAGTCCTGGACACAGGCTCCAGGACTGCCAGGTCCTACAGAAGCTGATCCATCCCAAGCTGCTTCCCGACAATCCAACAGCCACGCTGGAGCCCACAGCTCAGTGGGAGAGCTTATAGAAACCCACCATCACATCAGCAATTATCGATCTCGTGCACTCAGTCTCGTGATCTCAGTCCTACTCAAGCCACGCAACCCAGCCTGCTCTTGTTGCATCTTAATTCAAATCTAGCCCTTCGGAAGTAAAATCCTGTCCTTCACCCTCCCCCTGACCCAGCCACTTCACAAAGAACGGAAACAACCACAAAAACATGTCCTCTCTTCTGGTCATGGCATGACATTTAGAGCACCTCGAAGTCCCTGTGAAGGCAAGATATGCTCAAACTTCTGGAGAAGGGAGGGATTCACAAGTTCTGCATTTTATTCCCAACTGATTTTACCAACTCTGTGGTCAACAACTTTACCCTTGCAATATTACTCCTTCCTCTTCTCAAGAAGGAGGCATTTCCCGCAAAAGGCGAGAAAGCGTCAACTGTTAAGTTCTCAGAATTTAAGGCAAAAGAGAACATTTGTAGCAGTTTTAAAAGCCACATCACATGGGCCAACATGACCTAATATCTCCTTTTTAAATAAGAAGTCTAGAGAGAGAAGTGGTTCCCAACTGTCTCCATCAGCCAGGCCTGGACAGTCCCAGGCTGGGCTCGGAGACGCTCTGGGTGCCCATACCTCCTAGTACGCAGTTGCCTACAGACTGTGCGTTAGCCCAGAGAAACTGCACTGTGGAAGAACCCATCTGTCAGTCAGCAGAAAAAAAAAAAAAGAAGGAAAAAAAAAAAAAGAGCTCAATGCCGAGCCAGAACTATGGCTGTCAGGCTCAGTTCAGCCTGAGACAGCCAAAATTACCTTGGCCAGCCATGAGGGCAGCGGTGTGTGCCTGCCTGGCAGCACAGGGCTGCAAAAACTCTGAGGAAAGATTATTTAGTGCCCAGAGGAAAACAAGCGATAGTTCTGGTTATTTCTTTTGGATATCTTATTGTTTTCTTTATGTCTCAGGCAGGACTGCGATGTGTTTGCAAATGGAAATCTGCAAATCCAGAGGTGCAGCTGGATGCACAGCTGCTTTGCCAGGGAGCCACCGATTCGCTCTTTTTCCCCCAGTTATTATTTCTCTTTGCTAACTCCAGGGGTCCCCAGGACAGTGCTCCGTGGCAGGAATCCTCCTTTCCACCTATCAAGGTAATTACAAAGAGGAGCTACTCGTTGTGCAGCAGAGCTCAAGGGGCAAGGACAGCACGTCGAACCGGCTCTGCAACATCACCGACTGCCTTCCTGGTAGAACACGAGCAGTGTCCATCTCTCAGAAGGAGCGAGCAGCCAGTCACCTGCAGGTCTCAGAACAGGCGACGGATCTGCGAACGCTGCCATCTTTTACTCACCTTTCTCTAAAGCCAACAAATACCAGCTTCACCTCTTTGGTTATGAGGTGGTATAGGCACGCGACACCTGCTCTGCCATGCTTCCTTAGAATTGCCAGACCAACCTTCTTCTTTGCCTTCATTCCACAACTGAACTTTCCCCAAATACCTTGCATTCCAGACTACCGAATCCCATCCCTATACTGGGACAGCAACCATTAGCAGGCATCCCTTCCCTAAATAGAAACTGCAGCTATAGTGTATAAAAAAAATGATGGCTTACAAGAAAAAGCTGCCTGTGGTTTGCTGCCCGACAGCAGCCACGTTAGAAGCACTGCTGGAAACGTTTATATTCCGTGTTTGGTTGCCCCTGTTGCACTAGCCTTTTCTAGATCCAAACCAACCAACCACCCAAAGTTTCGACTGGGTCATCTCAAGAGACCAGAAACATCCCCTACAGACCTTTGCGTCTTCCAAAGTATGTACAGCCGGAAGCGAGATGATTTTTCAGCCTACTTTTTTTTCAGAATCAGCTTAAGAAAAACACAAGACCAGCCTCCTAACAGCATTGTGTCTTTCCAAGCTAACTCGAAGGGGATCATTCTCTATTCACCAGGAACATGCCCACGGCAGAGCAGGAGAGGATTTGGAATTAGCTACCTGGCAAACAAGTTGCACAGTTCTTGTTCTCAGTAGAGAACTGCCTCCATCTCACTGCCAGAAAGCACATAATTTCTTTACCTGCTAATATTCTTTGCCACTAATCCTCGGTGCGTCTGTCCAGACAAGTAGGCATTACACATTCCATTGGCAGGAGGAGAATAAATACTCAACTTGTCTGGGCTGACCCACAGCAGAGAAAGGAAGCCGGCATTTCACAATGCTAGCAAGAAATGCCTGCGCTGAGAGATACTAAGAAGAGTGGGGACAGACACTGCTTAACACAAAAGCAAATGCAGCTCCTTCACAGTTCAGTATCATGGAAAAACAGCTAAAACGTGCTTTTCACAGCTCCGTGCACCGGCATCTCAACAAACCAAAGAGCAGACCAACCTGCCCCTAATCTGTCACAGCAATTAGGTTGCAAAAGGTCAAGGTTTTTAATAACTCAGCCATGTTTAGGAGCTACTTATTACTGCTTCGTTCCAGTCAATTATTAGTAATGAGTAAAACACAAGCTCATTCTCCCAGGAACTCCAAGAGGGATGTAGGCACTGAGAAAAAAAAATATAGCCCTTAAAACTAAACTTAAGACACACTGTCAGAGATCCTCCCCATCGGCTGTCACTGAACCACATTCAGAGGAGAAACAGATGCTAAGGAAACCCAGAATTAGACTCTAACTTAACAAAACAGGAAAAAAACCCCAACAACCTATTGACCTAAGAACCTCCCAGCAGCAGGTGATTACAGCGTGCAGACAGGCTGAACAGCTCAGCCTGGACCTACGTCCAGCAACCGCCTCCATCAAGAGCAGAGGAAGCCAACTGCTGGCTCTGCGCTAACCAGACCCAACACCCTTGGAGAGGGATCACCTACCTGAGGAGGAGAGCTGGAGTTCACATTGTCTTTTGGTGGACTCAGGGAAGGCGCTTCTCCTTGAAAACCGCTGCTGTTCTGTGGCTGACAGAGTTTCCTGAAAAAACAGAATTTAGGGCTGTTCAAATCCCGTGCTTGACAAGCCAACAGATGGTATTTCAAATCTTCCTGCAAAGAGCCTTTTTGTGAGCTCAAAGCCTGACTGCTTGAAGATGCCATAAAAGTAGCTCATTCAGGCACTTATGGTTTTGACCTCAGACAAAATCTAGGAAGAAGAAACTACTACAGGAAAATATCAATCAACAACACTTGGTAATTGCTTATCTCTATCTTGCCTTCCCATGATTTTTGTAATTCTCTCTGAATGGAGGCAACACCTTGGACTGACACTGCCGGTGGTGTGGCAGGGAGGGAGGGGGCTGGCATAGCTATCAGACTCACAAGAGTCCCTACTGAGGATGGAACTTATTTTCCGACAGTTTTACCTCTTTTCTCTTGACCTGGTAACATAAGTATTTGTGCTGGTTTTGGCTGGGATAGAGTTAATTTTCTTCATAGTAACTACCACAGGGCTGTTTTGGATTTGTGCTGAAAACACTGTTGATAATACAGGGATGTTTTTGTTATTGCTGAGCAGTGCATACACAGAGTCAAGGCCAACAAATAAATTACAGCCTTAGAAAAATGATCCATACACAGATTAGTAAAAGCTGGCATTGAACTTCAAAGCGTATGGGATATATATATCTATTCTAGCTACTGCCCAAAATACAGCTTAATAAGCAAGATAGTATTTAAAGTAATTTCTGCCGAGTTTGTCTCACCCAGTTAAAATTGGCTTCATGAGAAAATTCAGAAAGCAAGCGCACTGTAAAGGGGCTGAAACTCAAGTTCAGATGTTGAGGAGTAAGTTCTCCCACTCACTAGCACCATTAAAACAACATTTTACAGGAACAGCAGTCCTCTTTCACAAGCAAGCCCCTCTGGATCCAGGAAAAGCAAGATTATTGCAGGAACTTTTACGGTGTTATTGGTCCACTAGGATTTACACGTAGGGTTTCATAGTAAGACTTTTTTAAGTTGCATCATGCAAAATAGCGCTACTTTGGTCTGTCTGTGCGGCATTGGACAAACAATAGAGACCTCTTGTAGCAAAAAAAGTACAACGCAAGTCATTCTAGTCACGTAAGTGCGTTAATTCACATTCACGCTGGGTATCTCCACTCCCCACCGCCCAAGGGGCTCTTTAGATCTCGGCGTAAAGTTTCAGAGCGCACCAGCTTTGCCCTACTCTTTTGACACCAGCCAGATCACCCGTATATTAATCACCGAGGAAAAACTACTGTTGCATCAAGTTGCAGCTGTCAAGCTGAAAAAAAAAAATTCAGGGTTAAAGGTTTTAATAAACTAGCTCTGCAGTCATTTTGTCACCAGCTGTACAGCCTAAATAACCAACGTCTAAATTCTTCCACAAGAGACTATAATGAGTTTTAAAGCGCACACATCTTTTTCAAACATTGGGAAGATTGCTTCAGAGATAGAGCCCACGACTTTACAAGATCTTCTTTTAACCTGAGCTTCAACCTTCAGCCATATGGCAGCAACATTTTAGATGCCTGCAGTTTCGCTGCACTTCTGCTGCTTTGTTTAATTTTATTTAGAACAATCTCAATGGCCACGGATCAACCAAAGAAATGTACTCAGAGACTGTGCAAACAGGAAGGGGAACAGTGATATTCCATAAACAGGGCAGTGAAAGTGGCTTTGTGGACGCCGTTTGACTAGACTGAGCAACCTTGTCACATCTCCTAACACGTTAATTATGGATTTTGAAAAAGTGAATGAAAGACGACTACTTTCAATTCAGCCGCTCTTGTGACAGCGGAAAAACATTTCACTACAACGGCGGAAGAAGGATGGAAAACACAAACAACATGAGGAAAAATGAGTTAGTCTAACATGGGCACTGTTAGACACAGTTTTAACGTTTGCAGATGTGCTAATTATTGCAGCCACTGAACCGGCATGTGGCAACCGGACCTGAAAACTGAGAGGACATTTAACAATTGGCTGGATCTAGGCAACCACGCAGACTACCGCAGCCAGCTACGTAAAGTCCTACGTCTGGTTGCCTGTGCCCTTTTTGTGAATGTTTTTCTACTGTCTTCAATCCTGCATGTTTTTTCCATTTTGTAGCCTCATTACCTGCATTGGCTGTGCGGGTCTTTGTTTGTACAGTTGAATACATCCTTTCCAAGGTCTATTTTTAGACCTTCGCATAACTGAATGCCACAATTCTAGAAAAAGCAGTAAACATTGCTTTCTACAGGGAGATTTTCTTTTTTTGAAAGCCATAAAGACTGCATGGCAGTTGTATTTTTCCATTTAATTATAATTCAACATCAAGGCCATTTAAACAAGTTTGATTTTTCTTTAGCATGCCAAAGCACTTCAAGTGCAAGTTTCTGTTGGTTTAACAAAGTCTCATCTCCAAGCCAACTGTGCTTTCAAATCATGGAAACTGTTCAAACAGAGCATGCTCTACTTAATCTTAACCAAAAGTGCAATAAAATAAATCTCAAAAACAAGTCAAGTAAAATCCCTATCTGCATTACAAAATCTGTACCAAGTCAGCACAAACACACTGAAAACATGAACACTCAGAGCAGAATTCTCCTCTAGAAACCTGGGAGATACGTTCTTTCCCTGCTGCCTGCCAGCCAAGAGCTTCTGAGCTTGGAGGCTTCACCTACAGGAAAATATCCGTAGAGAGCAAAAAACCCTTTAGCAACTAATGAGACAAAGCTATCATCTCAACTAACTCTGTTAAAGGCTATCTTCAGGAAGGAACATGCGAACAGGTATCCCTTGGACAGTGAGGATTACACTGTAGGGGCAGCAGGACAACCGGCACGTGTTTTAGGGGACTTATCTCTACAGAACTGCCTCGTGCTTTTTCATGCATCCTTTACTTCAATCAACCTTAAATCTCGCAGGGCGACTGTAACACCAACAGAATTTGCAGCAAGAGAAAACGAAAAACCGCAGTAAAACATCCAAACAACGCTACAGAAATGAAGCGGCCAAGTCTCCAAAGCAAAGAGCTCAAGAGGAATAAGGACATCCACAGGAACAAAGCACAGTAGCGGCTGAGCAAGACAGCTACGGGACGTGGCTGCATGGTAACGTCTCCCTCCTCGCCGTGAACAAACACGGCAGTCTGCACAGGAAGCCGTGCACAAGAAGATATGGAAAAAGGAAAAGAGAGCCGAGCTGGACACATTTGCCTTAATCCATTCATCTCCCACGATTTTAAATGACCATTAACTGTAACAGCTTTTGTTCCCCACCCAGGTTTTTCTCCCCCCACAGCTTTTAGTATAACGAATGATTTAAAGGCAACTTAGGACGATCTGAAGAGTGCATTCGCTTTGATATTCAAGTTTAGTCAACTTCTGCAGCTGTCTGGATGACAAACAGATTTATTTTGTGTTAAAATAAGTCAAACACTTAACTTACCGTTACTTTGGTTACCCTGATTTATAGCAACTGACCTGGCTCAGGATTTTCAAGCTCCATATGATATTACAGAGAAGATGGAATAATTACCGAACAAGTATCCTCTTCAGCAACTGCTGATCTCCTTCAGAGTAGCCAGGCCAGTCCTTCTGCACTTCTTTGTATACACAATCTTTCAGTGTGAAAGTGCTGTCCTTGGCACTCAAATTTGCCACCTGAAACAAAAGTAATTTGCAAAAAACGGTTAGGGTTTAATTTTCTCACTTGTTCTAACAAGAGAGATCTAAGATGTAGGCAAAATCTCAGCAGATTTAGCGGCAGTTAGTAGTGTCAGAGAGCAAAGGAGAGACTTTATACTTAATTTCCTAATTATTTAATCAAACTGTGCCTTTCCTTTTTGCCCTGCCCTTGCAGTAGTTTATTATGGGTTTCCAAAGCATATCCAGTTTACTGGGAAACAAGTCCTATCAGAAGACATTATTCAGCTTGGATAGGCTGGAACAGTACAATATCAGTTTATGGAAATACCTGGAAATAAACCCTAATGGGAACAGGCAGTTCACTTATCACACCTGTCCGATAGCTAAAATGGTGCCGTTTATTAGCTGATAGAGGAACTCTTGCGGCGATAGCTTAGTTAACAATGGCCAGAAGATAATTTCTCACTTACAAGCCAGTAAAACAGGTGACAGAAAGCTACTTTCCCAAGGAGCAGTGAGGAGAACACCCTGCAGATATAATGCATTAGGGAGCTTGCAGATTACACTGTGCAGCTCCGTGCATTGGGATCATCTGCTGGATTTCACAGAGAAGAACTTTTCGGAGGACTACTTCAGGGCAAGAACAAAACCTGCGATTACCAGCTTATAACCCAGGGTTTTACAATAAAGCATTGCACCCTAGATCAGGTGCTGCCATTAGCTCGGTAAACTTGCATGAGAAACTTCGTGACATTGTTATCCAATTCTATCATCGGTAGTTTCCCCACAAAACTCTGCGTGGTGCCTACACGGATAGGAAACACTGCTGGAACCGGCAGAATTGTATTAGAATGGAAACAACTTGTTAAGAGTTATCCCACTTCAATCAGTCTTTCCACAGCTTGACTGAAAATTTAACTTCTTGCTGCTGGTTACATATCTGAAAAATAGAATGTTAGCACAAACCAAAAAGCCCCAGTTAAGTTTTCACAGATACTGTCTTAGTGATCCCTTCTTAGGTGACCGTAGGGCACTGCAAGTTTAGGAAGAAAGCAAAGCCTTGAATTTGTTTTTATGAAAGGGATACGGAGGCACAGGTGCCCACAGCCAGGCTGACCAAACTGGCAAAGCCAGCAACCACGTCCCAAAGTTGCTGCTTTAGCCCCTCAGTTTGACAACTGTATTACACTTGAAACGGGAAGATGCTTTTATTCAGTCAGTGGAGATACTGTGCATCTGTTTAAGGACTACTGTTCCCCACTGCTCGCTCCATTGCGGAGATGGTCGTGCTTATGAATTTCTATTATCCACACAGCAGTAAGATAGCCTCAGAAAAGCAAGTGAAGGAGTGGAAAGTCTTGAATTAACTGAAGATGCTGTTAATTCTTCTGCTTTTGCTTTAGGGAGACTACGACCTAGTATTAAAAAAAAAAAATCTATGAATTTAAAAGCAAAAAGCTGCAGAACAAATACAGCAAAGCTCTCCTGATAAGCGAAAAACAAAAAGCACAGTTATCAGTTTACATGACGAACACTTTGTTTTTCCTTTCAGTTCTGTCAGCTTTCCAAAATCCTGAGCCAAAACACAAGAAGAATTTGAGCTGTGTTTTACATTTAGATATCCCAGTAAACATGCCCAGGAGACAAAAGCAAAACCAGGTTCTCTTTCAAAAACTCTCCAAGAATCTCCCCGCTTACTGCCTCTTTCTACAGCAGAAGACACGCTGCTCGGCAAGGCTTGTAGCCCAGGCAGAAGAGCAACTCAGATTTTTCTCTGCACAGAGGCTGAGAGCTGCCACCTCCTTGTTTTGCTGGTGTGGGACTCTGCAAGCTCCACCCCAGGCCTCCCAAAAATAGAAACCTTGCAAAATGAGGCAAAAAGGCCAGCAGGAACACAGAGTCCTATGAGAGATGCAAGAGTACAATGAAACCCACACCTAGACGTATTTAGACATGTAACTTTAATGCAGCCTGTAATTTTTAGCTTATCTGTGTCTGCTTGTGGATGGGAGCCCTGGTAGCACTGAAAGGAGATTAAGTTTACAAGCAATACGTTTACAGCCAAATCAGCATTTAGCCCAATCAGGCTGACACTATGGACACTGCCCAACACACCACTTGCCTGCCAGGGGTTTGCGAGAGCATCAGTAAAAGGTGATTATCAGAAACGGTATTTCTAGTATTAAACCTATTTATAGCATTCAAAAGGGTGCTCAAAAGAATTCTAGCACTGCTGGAAAATTAAGGGCTATAGGATTAAAATCTAGGGAAGGCGCAAGTTGTGCCAGCAATAACCCCATTTTCAGTATAACCTGCCTTGTGCCCTTGGCAAATTAACTCCTCACTGTCTCATTCTTTTCAGCTATGGAAAGGAGTAAAAAAATAAAAATAAATAAAACCAATACAGAGGAAGACAGCTGCAGCATTTAAACAAACACCCATGATCTGCTTTGCACTGCGAGAGCAATAAAGGTATTTACTGCAATTCCTAAAATGGCACCTTCAACATGACTCAAAGTGTTAAGAACTGATTCAGCTTGGAGACAGCTTTCACACTTGACATACAAATAATATACTTTGCAAGAAGCTGCATGATCTTCACACCTAGCCAGTTGCACTGCTAAGCAGGAAAGGAATGGGTCTGAACAATGCAAAGAAGATGTAAAGCTTAGTGGAGAGGGACATAGTTTTTCCTTCACATAGGAAACATTACATGTATCAATACAGAACACGTTCCTTTATGTCCACGTTAATAAAAGTATACAGAATAGATTTATGGGTTATACAAATCAAGCAGCTTGTAGATCCTCTGTTAGATAATTCTCCCCACGCCCGACCAGAAGTGTTCCTCTTAAGTAACTGATCTGGTGAACTGAAATCATACAGCTCAGCTGCATAGACCTAAACCGAGGTGTATACACGAGAGGCTTCTGCTTATCTCTAGTAAAATAGTAACGTGAATTGCGAACGTCTGTCGGTCACGGCCTTTAGAGAAACGTTCAGCTGCAGCTTTGAGATACACCGGTTACGTTCAGACTAATACAGAAGGTACTCCCGTTCTGAGAAGACATTTCCCTTTACCTAAATTGTTGCCTTCATCAGAGTACAAACCTGTTGCAGAAGGTTGTCCAACAAATCCTTGTCCTGCTGAGAAAGTCCATCCTTCTGCAATCTGAGAATAAGTTCAGGTTTCTTATAAGGCTTTAGTGCCAGTAAGTGCACAACCCTATCTTTGAAGGGTCTTTGAGAAATCGCACTATTGCCTCTCTTTATTGCACTGGCAAGGTTGACTGGCGTTGGGCGCTTCCTGGAGGGAACAGCATCGGAAGCTCCTGGTGCAGGTTTACGCACCTGAACCTTTTTGCCTAAAATGAGATGAGAATAGTGAACTGCAGCAGTCACCTTGCAAAGGCCAGTGGTCTGTCAACACGTATATGGAGTTCATTACACCACCTGAAGTGCCAGAAGATGACAATGAAGGACAAACACAACCAGCACACCCCATCTGTTCCGATACACCGCTGGAACGAGTATCCCATGAGTTTTATGATTCATGACAAGCTTGTAACAAGTAAACAGCAACACCAAGCTCTGGAAACCTGAGTATTATTGGCCAGAAGCTTACATAAAGCTCTCTTTGTCTGCCAGCTTTTCATTTATCCCAAGTGCGTCTATCCCCACAGTTAATCTAACTGTTTTTTCCCCTCCCTGTGAGAAGAAAATTCTGCATTATTATGTAGAAGAGTCGAAATATGGAGTGGAAAGACCAGAACTGGTCAACGAGCGGCTCCCTGCTGCTGATCTCAGCAAAAACACTACTCCAGCAGATGTTTCTGCTTTTAGAACAATAGGAACTTTATAGGGCTGGGTCCACCTCCCTTCCCCCCTGCCAAACACAGCCACATGAATGGGGTCTAACACCGACACATTAGCCTATTCATTAGTGTGCTGTCTCTTCTAAGAGAATAACCCCTTCTACACTGTAGTAATAACTGCTTCACCCTCCAATTACATTTATGTATACGTGAGACCATAAGGCTGACTCAAAAGTTCATCTCGAGCCCTCAGAGGCAGCTTCCTCAACTCCGTCCCAAATGCGGTTCTTGGTTTCTGACAGCATGATACAAGAATTCATTTTCCCATTCCTATTGAAAAACAGCTTTAACTAGAACCCTCACACAAGTCCCACATCGCTCGCTAAAGCGCAAATCAAAGAATTGTACTATTTTGAATACAGAAACAGGTCACAAAGGCAGGCTGCTCCTACCAAAGGCAAAACCAGCAAATCGAAAAGAAAATTTGTAGGTTCCAAGGTCTAAAACATGGAGATGCAATCAATAATCACTTCAGTTCAAGAAAGCGACCTTCACTAAACAAACAACATCCACCATTTACGGAAAGAATTTTGGAGGTTTATTTCAGCACGGCAATCCTCCACTGCTAGGAAGCTATATTTTCAACTGAGTCATCTGAAGATACTGGTGATTGTCTGCAGTGTTTATTTTACTGAAATGTAGATTGCTTAACTGAGACCCCATTTCCTGGCTTTTTATTACGCACCACGCTGATGCAAGTAAGTACGACCCATCGTTGGCTGGACTGAGTTAAGACGAAAGGGAGAAAAACAATTCGCATGTTAAACATCCCAAAATTCAGAGGTCAACTGGACTTCATTTCCAGAAATGGGACGAGAGAAAATTCGTCAGCTTTCTAGAACTCCCTTAACTCTTGCCAGGTCATGAGCAGCAAAAACACATTGGAATATTTCCAGTAAAGGCTGGAGCCAAAATGCACAATGATAGGAAAAGAAAAAAATATGTTAAAGCCAGAACACGAAGTCTTTTAAAATATTTATACATGTGCATATATATAGGTGTATATGCACACACCTATTTAGTGTATATATAAGCACACATATCCCCTTACTGACATATCACCCATCTATTTACATATATATTCGTTCAAGTGTTAGTTCACGTCTATACTGTCCTGTTGATCTCCAATTTCAACATTTCATATAAATTCTCCCACATCTGAGCTGCCTGGAAAATGACTCCACTGACGTTTAAGTGCTGAGCTCCGTGTTCTCATGGAAATGTGAGAGCCAGCCATCTCCCTCCAGAGTAGCCTGCAAGCGAATCAGCTGATGGTGCTGGCACACCAAATACGTGTGTCCCGCAAGAGGACTGTCCTTGCCCAGGCTCTTCCTTCTTGGAGGGGTGCTTTCCTCCCGTCTTAAACATTGACATCTTACATATGCAGCACGCACTCCACTCCTTCTACGTGGTTGTGCCTCCATTTCAGAGCGGTAAATGTTTTAGCCAGAGTATTTTTAAATCAAAAGTTTTGCTCTATCTTTCCGGGAAGCAATTTGCTTTGAGAATCTTCTCCTTCACAAGCCCAACAACTTCATCCACTTACTGTAATGTTCTCAAATATAAGCTAAACAAAATAGTCTTTTAGTCTACAGGAAATCAATGCATTTCCTTCCTGATTACTATCTTATTTCTCAGCTTCGAGCACTTGGCTGATAGAACAATGAGTCAGAGTCAGTTCTACATTTTGCAACTCACCATTCTCATCACAGACATCCTCTGAGAAGAGACTGCCTACAGATCACATGGGCTACAGAAAACTGAGCTGGCTCAAAAAACCCAAACAAAACTCCACTTTCTGGTTCACATTTGTGCCCTAAGTTTGTGACCAGACTGAGGTTAAGCAGGGACCCGAGCCCAAAGCTAGGTCTCTGCAAGCTCCTTCTGGAGCCCACTGATATTTGCCACAGTTTTATTTCCTCCCCTAAGAGTCTCCTCTCCTTGACACAGTAAGATGGTTTGTTTGAGGCTGCAGTCAGCAGCACTGCTTCAGTCTTTGTTTATTAACACAAGGGCACTGCTATCCACATCCTAGATGTTGCGCGTTACAGTCTCAAGCGCAGGCACACACTAGACGTGTGACAACAGCAGTGGCACATTTTCGCTGACTTTGCTAGGAGCACAGACACTTCTGGTGGATCAGCAGTATGCTCTCAGCATCACCGCATGACAAATATGAAGTAACGCCAGAGAGTGATGTGACTGCACGCAGACAATCCTCAGAGGCCACACAAACACCACCACACATGTTCTACGGTGAAGATGGAAGCCATGAGGAAGTCACAATACAAGGAGAGTAGCACTCTCATAAATCAGACACCCATAAGGGACTGCCAGATACTTCTTAAAGACTTTTGTGGGCAAAACAAACGTCAGCATTTGACTTCAGAAGCTAGGGAAGACACCCCCAGATCAAGTTGCTGCTTACCTACGTATCTGCCCCCAGGCTTAATGACTATAGCACTCCGGCTGCGAGTCTCCTCCTCTGCCTGTGCCATGCTTTGCCTCGCCTTCTGGTAGGAATCATCAGTAGCACACACGGTGATTTTATCCTGTATGCTTCCAAGGCAATCCAGATGGATATTGCCATTGCTGCAAAAGAAACGCAACGGAAAAGATACTCCCAACACTGCAAATGGGCACATCTCTGTCACTGGTGACTAACTGAGGTTGCATTAGCTAAATAATAGGAGGAGACAGAAAGAAGCCGAGAGGTAAACAGATTCCTCTGTGAGCATTTCCTTACCCAAACATACACACACAAGCAAAAACTCTAAAAAGAACGAACACATTAAGTTTTGTTCGGGTTTGTTAGGGAAAAGATTGTACAGAAGATAAGATATTAAAAAAAAAAGGCTAGGTTTTCTTTTACTGTACCACTCACCTAGATACATACTGCTGGATACAGTCAAAACTCCCTTGGGGGCTGTCCTTGCCAATATTTGAAAGATAAAATGTGAAAGTCCGCACTTCCGTAGGTCGATCAGGCCTTGGAATTGCGATGTGCTGTTTGGAAGGAGAAAAATATTGGTCACTTGGGTAGCCCACACTAACACAAAATGCAATTTTTCTGCAGTCACTATGCTTTATAGCTGTTTTGCAACCCACTACAAGTAAAGCATATGGATTCCTGCATAGGAAACTATGAAGAGCAAGAAGCTACAAGGATTTAAGTTAGCAAAACTGTATGCACTGAAAAGATAAGGTAAGAGGTAGACAGAGGTAAAGAACAGCTAAAGCGACAGCGATGTCTGTAACAGAACAGAGGGCTGAGCTGGCAGCTCGCTGCCTTTAAACGCAGAGCCCACAATAATCTTGTTCTAGGAACCTGACCCAATTCTATTGATTCAGGCTCAAAACAGGCTTGCTATTGCTGTTTATATTCAATTTAAAGCATTTGAGACTTGTTTCTTTAGAATTAGTGATCCAGCACTAAACATAGTACAAGCCAGGTCACTAGGTAGCATGCTTATTCTTTTTTAAGAGATTATAATTCCATAACGAGATTTCATGGCTCACAGTAGAGTGTGTGACGCTGCTGCTAAATTAAATATTTAATCAAGCATTAAGTGTGCTCCGCAGACAACTCTACAGCGATCTGCATTGTTTTCCCTCCCCCAGCCATTCATTTTTCAAAAGGGAAACTGTTTCCTCTCTGCGTTCAAGATCCAACATAAATCTCAGCATCTGAGCTCTACTATCACATCAATATTTGATAATTAAGATGGCTTCCAGAAAACGAGACAGAAGGAACATCAGCTTCAACCTATTTTAGGCTACACTTTACCACACAGATTTATATTTACCCAGATTGCCACATATATGCACAAAATATATATGCCTAGCAAACCAATTCGTGGCATCCACATATGACTGCGCCCCGTCGTAAAAGACTACTGCTGGTACAGAAGGGTTTCTAGGTGGTTTCCCTTTGACCTCAGACGTCTGCAGCAGCCTGGAAACCCACTGCATCTGTGCCACTTTGCTAAACCACAGGGATGTTCTCAGAACCAGCAAGAAACGCTTGTGTGAGCTGCGCTGAGCCGAGCCAGTGCGGCGTTTTCCATTTACTCTCCGTAAAGACCAACCCTCCTCCAGCCAGCCCTCAAAACAGACTTCCCTTCTTTCGAAGCGGCAAGCCAAGAAACCCAGACTCGAGCGATACAGAAGGACGAGTTATCCCCCGTGCAGTTCCAGGATCCGCATCTAAAAATACTCGGAGCAGATTCGGTGGCGATCCGGGCGCTGACGGGCAGCGCTGACCCTCCGGCAGCGGCAGCTGAGCCGTTATCTCCCCTGCCAAACGTGCGCCGGCAGCCTTGAGCCCTTAATCTGTCCCGGCACCCTCTGCCCCCCACCCATCCAGAACAAATAAAATTCTCTTCTGCTTTACAAGCGAGCTGAGAATATGCACAAAGTTATGTAAACAGCAGATTGTGGGTATTTTACCCTTGGCACTGCGCACCCGCTAGTTAATTTGCTGGGAACGGGGCAAGAAGGTAAATGCAACAGGTCTGTTCAGCTTCTAGCGCCGTGCGTTGGGGGAGCGAGTTGTGCCGCACGTGACGGGGTTGTAAAATAAAACCCGGAGGATGTAACCAAATCATATATTCTCGCACTGAAATAACTTGCTTCTAGCTCCTCATTTACCATTGTAAAAAAAAACCACAGCTGCTCCGAGAGCCCCGACTCCGGCATTTTTGTAGAGTTTCTGCAGCTTCTTCAAAGGACGTAAAATGAGACAGGAGCGGAAGAGTCATTTTAGCGTTAAACGTTGCTCGTTCCAGTACTCAAAAGCGTAGCGTATGCAAACTGGCCGTTATCTAGGAATTATTTTTAGCTGAAACAGAAGGTTTCTCAAGCCACCAAATCAGCATGGTAACTGCTCTGAGGGAGCCCTAATTTTGGTGCAGAGTATTACACCAGTAACCATAGACACTTAAAAATAGCTCAGTACAGATGTGACTTCTGGTTTTTTTCTTTCAAGTAATATTCATCTGTGTACAGCTCATTCTGAATGGCAATTTCACCTTCCTCTATTAATACCAGCACAAGTTCATCCCAAGAAACAGGGGAAAACGTCATATTTTCCAAACACGTCAAGTTAGACGTTTTGTTCCTAACAGTTATATTTAAGAAAGCTGCATGAGCATACATGGATTTGGCACCTGAAGGTCCCCCCGCTCCCAGTTCAGTTCTTTCCCCACTCCCCCATCCCAGCTCCCCCACCCCGAGTAAGCACCTGCAAATTTGACCCAACCTAAGCTCTAATTCTGCACATGCTTTTCCCAAAATAGAAGCATCTTTAGCCTTTCTTGTACGGTTACGCACGCCATCAACTACCACCATTTGTAACGCTTTGGTAGTCAAGTTCTTAAATTCTAATTTTACATTTACATTGAAACAAGCAAAATGCTCAAGACTCTGTATAAACTTACGAAACTATCCAAGAAAATCCAGTTCATGATGAAAAACTAACAAGCAGGTGCTGCTCTTAAGGAATATCCAGATAGTCCCACTTGAGCACCTCACAGCAGAGTAATACTCTGCTAATTACAACCCACTTACTGCTATTGAAATTCTGATTATTACACAGATTATTGCTCTGAAAAAGTAATTAACAAGACTAGCATTGCTGTAAAGAAATGCATCCCAAGGCAAAGATCATTTACGGTCCACAGTTTACAAAAACTCATGTGAGATTCAATCCAGACCTTGTCACTGAAACAGCAGTTTTATTTTGGGCTAGAATCACCAACATCCTCCTTTCGGCACCTGGCCGACACAGCTGCCACCTTGCTGACCCTCTGGTTTATTCCTCACCAATTCCCTTCTCTGGTTAATTAGAGTATTAAAGTTTTTTTTCCTGTGTATTAGAAGCTGAGAGTATCCTTGACAGACTTCATTAGACTAACACTGGGAACAGGCATAAAGGACAGGGACGCAGTAATTTTAAACCTTCTAGAGAATTAAATTAAGGAAGCAGCAGTTTGTTTTGAACTCTTATTTTACATCCTGCCTCCCCCAATCATCAAGTTCTTTAAGTTCTTCCTTCTTGCGAGAGGGATATTCACACAGGAAAGTCACGCTGTTAGAATCTCATCTCACTGGACACTGCTTTAAATCACACTTGGACATTTGTGCTACACACAAAACCTACCACCCTCAAAAGTTAAACGGAGTTAAGTCCCATTAACTCCTTTACTTAACTCCTCCAAAGTAACATTTATTAGGAAGCAAAACAGGAAGGCAACAAATTGGGGAATTAAGGTATAGCGGAAGAAAGCATATTCCAAAAATAAACAGCTAAACAAATACGTTTTAATGTCATCATCTGAATTTGAGAACTTGTTAAATTACTGAAACTATCTTTTCAGTCCAATTGATAGGAGGCATTTAAAGGCCCGTCGTCAATTCCTTAAGGCAGGGCACAATCACGACATATACAAGTACTACACTTAAAAACAGATGGTTACGCAGCTGCCAGCTTCTTGTCATACACAGTAAAAATAATAATAAAAAAGGACAAAGAGCCCTTTCTATCTCCCCCAGTTGAACTGGATCTCGCTTTCTTCAAAGCTCTACCTTTGGCCTTTACTCAACAGTGCAATTAATTAAACAGCTGAAAACGAGGCAGGCAGAGGTCAGCTCTGTGCTGCCAACATCCTCCTTCCACCCGCAACGCCCCGGCGCTGCTCACACTGTGCAGGGCTCAACGCTTCGCTCTTTAAATGGCAACATCAGACGCAATCGCGCCGCTTCGCTCCTTTTCCATTCAACCCCGACTGTAATTGCAGGCGACTGGCAGCTCTTTCACCAAAAACTCTCCTCTGGAAGTGAAGGGCTCAAATATAATTACAGTGCGTTAAATATTTGTTTTTTAATTTTTATAAGGAACAGCATCATTTTAAAATCGGCGTTTTCAAAAATTATTATACGGAGCTGCATTATTTTAAAATAGGTTTTCTTCTGGTTAACCTGAAAATGCCGGGGTCTGTATCACATCCGGGTGAAACCCACCACGGGAGGAGTGCAGCAGCTGAAGGCGGTGGAGCATTTTAAGCCGTTCTGATTCATTTTGCTACATTTCCTTCCAAAAGGAGGAGGAAGATTAAGGAAGAGAAGAGGCATTTCTAGAACTTAAGCAGCTTTACAGGAAAAGTGAGGTGTAGATCCTCACAAGGTGCTCTACAAAGGGAAAGGAAAGCATTTGCAGTCTTTTTAGCTGCTTTATTACATGCAAAGCTGTTTGCTCATCTAATAGCAACAAATCATGCAGCCTTAAAAGTTTTCCTTGTCACTCGCTTCTAATTTTGCCAAACTTCAGTTGCAGATTTTTATCTAAGCTTTCATGCTGAGCTTTCTGGGAAGTTTAATTGTAAACAAAGTAAAAAAAACCTGGAAATTGCTCCTTTCTTTATTTCCCAGGACAAAAAGGGCTGTATTTTTCTTAACTTACGATAACAATTATGTCTTTCCTGCTACGTTTTGTTAAGAGTACTATGTACTATTAGTAAGACTAATATCACAAGGTGAAATATGGGCAAGGAGAAACGTGCTACACTTTAATGCCTACTTAATTCAAGCCTTTTTGAAAGTTTTATTGTGCCACCACAAAAAAAAAAAAAATCACAAAGTTATTTACAGCTGAGTTCAGGTTCTTGGAAAAAACACAATTAAATTCCCCTTCCTTCAGCAGAGCACCAAACTTAAACACACACCTTTTTGTATCTAAAAGGTATATAAATGACATTTTTAAAGTTCAATGAAGAGTTGCATTAGTTTACCAGAAACACTACCAATTAAATCTCAACTTTGTCAGCAACGGGCACAACAGACGGTTTCAAGCATCTATAAATATCTTGGAGGAGTTCAGTCATCGGAACAGAAGTTAAGAGAAATAAAACTCCTAAATATAAAAAACTTTTGGTACTCACAGAAACCGCATGGCTGTTCAGACATACCTATTAAATAAAGCTTCAGCACATTTGTAGCGGCCCCCAAGCTGCTATGGTAAATAACTGGTACCCGTGAAGTCTTGCACCAATTTTACCAGGTTTGAGATGGCGTTTCCTCAGGACACAGGCGAGGCTTCCGTGGATTGCTGCACCCACCACGGTACTGCCATCAGCGAGCTTTCCGTTTCCTTCTTCTACCCAACAGCATGGCCTTATAAAACTAAATTTCACCACCAGCAACACTGGTGGTGCTGGTGCTATTGATTTAGCAAGGTTAGAAAATAACCTTGCTATGGATTTAGCAAGGTTAGAAAATAAAAGAGCGGGGGGAAATTTTTATAGGGAGATAATTCGTGCCATCAATGAAAAAAGGACCACATCTGAACTTCATATCTCACTTTCAGAAATCAGAGCATCATTCTTTGAATTGGAATAGGACAGACATACAGAAAAAATACCTTACTCAGATTAATTCTATAAGCCAGTAAAGAACTTTCCAAGGCAACCCACATACAAACTTACCCCTTGGCTTCCTTGAAACTGGATTACTGGTTTTGATGTCACAGCATCCTACAAAAACAAGCAGAAAAAAGTAAGATTACCTTAGAGAAATTTAAAGCTCCAGCATTCCCTGCCAAAAAATACTCAGCTTGATTTTTTGCCTATACTTTTTACTCTTTCCTTTTTATTTTTTTAAAGAAAAAACCTTCAGGGAAGAATACAGAATTCCAAGCAAGAAAATATAAAGCCTCCTGAAACAGTGATTTGTACCTAGAAAAGGGGTAAAATTGTCAGTGGTACCCTTACCTTAGAAAAAGAACAGCTCTGAGATGACACCCAGATGGGCCACGCTTAGTTCCCTTCTGACCCCTAAACCACATTTCAGGCACAGAATAGCTTAGCTGTGTATCTTTGGCGCTTATGTAAGTTTTGAGTTAAACAGTGGATATTTGAGGGGAAAATTTATTACAGTTCTAGGTCTGAGAACACGCTAAGCAAATTTTTTCCAACAGAAAGCTGGCAATTCATTGGAAAAGCAAACTGCAACTCCATTGCAAAATCCTGTTGTTACATTGCCCATTTCAACAATCAGCCTCTTCCTCCATCCTAATTTGCTTACATTTCAAGAAGTCATACTGCTGCTAGCTCTAAAAACCCTTAAATATGCTCAAGACAGAAACAGCACTGAATGTCAGTCTTTTTGCACCATGACTGCATTTTTCAATGTGATCGCACCTAACGTTTCAACGACAGGGAAAGTAGTCTTGTATGCAATCCAGGCCACGCTAAGTTTTTAGTTCTTAAATTTCAGGAGAATAGTGGCTGTCTTGGTTTTATTTCCTCAGTCGCATAAAACACGCCAAGACACCCTCCTGCAGCACGGGAGTTGTGCTCCACGGGGCAGAAAAACATGCCACGTGTGGGATCCCATTGCGAAGCCTTCCAAAGGGCAGAAAAATTTACAAATAGGTTGAAATAGCATTTAGGAGTCAACACGTTGCCACATATACAGGAGACACATTTCAATGGGAGAAACGCCAGGAAGAGTTTAGGAGACAAAGCCCAAACGGCACATTTGTATTGTCGTTTTTGTACCACAGCGCCCACAGTTCTCGCATCTCCCAGCATGATAAAGAATCACGTCGCCTTCCAGAGGACTACAGAAAGAGACATTTAGCAGCAGAAGAGTTAACAGCTTGAAAGCCCATTAAGTTTATCATCTCTCATAAAACCTTTCCAAATGCTTTCAGCCCAGGAGTGAAGAATCTAAGCCACAATATGCTGACATTAACAACAGCAAAAAAATTCACTAGCAAGAAAATATCCTTCTAGCACAGATGAATAAGCTCATACCAAGACAGTCTTCAGAGTCTTTTAAGAGCCCATCTAATACGATTTAACAGATCTGCATCACACCCGAGATTGTTCCGAGATATTTACGACAGTGAGTAAAGCAAGAATATGCTTGAAGCTGACAGCACTCACTCTGTGTTGTATAGCGAGTTTTATAGACCCGAAACAACCTTTATAAAGAAACAATAAACAACATCTTGCTCTTCGTACAGAGATCACTGGATTCCTTGAGTGCCACGACATTGCATACCACAGCACACTGTTCATAGACAGACTGGCCAGCTTTTTGTTCACGGTGTCAGCATGTACTGTGCAATGTGTCCAGAAATTCATATGAACATACTTGAGCAAACAAGCATTTGAAACATTAAAAAAATCTGGATGAAAAAAAAATCTGGATGCGCATCTTGGACAGCTAATTACGGATTTGAGAAGTTCTGCAATTAATCCTGGAAAATTACTTAAGTGGAATAAAAAGGTAATATGAAGCACGTAAGTAGAATAACGAGGCAATAACAATACAAAAGTACTGTTAAACAAATCAGGACAAGCTTTAATTGCAGAACTTATAAATTCCCTAATCTACATACAAAAAGGTTCGAAGGTAAGTGCGTAATCTCAAACTTAAAAATGAGTGTTCATGGGAGTTAAATGGCAAACTTTAGCTTTATTTCCTCGACCCCCTGAAATTTTCTATTTCTACCCCCCTGAGCTCTCTGTGCCTATGGGCTGCTGGATTTTGTGATCTGCCATGTAGGAGTATCTGTGTTGTAACTCCCTGCCGCACTCCGCAGAAGGGATCCCAGGGAAGAGCTGGATATTGGAGAGTCACTGCACTGTCCAAGTTCCCTTTTCGGGGGGAGAAAGGGAAGGCTCTTGGCTTCCCAGGGCCATCACCCCTGTAACTACACAGGCATCGCTTCCCTTCTGCTGATGCCCAATTCCTTGGCTACAGGTCATTTGAGAATGTTCAAGGAAGAAGAAAAACACATGTACACCCTAACCTAATTAAGGATATAAATTTAAGTACTTTTATTAGATGAAATTAAATTCCTGCATGGACACGTTCATTCAGAACAAAAGCAAACAGACGAATTAAGCTAAACCAAGTTAAAAAACATATTTCAATTTATATCTTCAGTTTGTTTGGATTAACTTTCCTGAATGTTCTGGTATGGACAAACCCCAATTTTAAAGAGTTCTTGCTCCCATTTCCAAAATCCCTCTTTGAAAGAGTCACCTAGTTCTTCTTCCTTAGTGGTGCCAAGACAGTGAACTTCCTTAATTAGTTTCCTGGAAGTGCCCTCCTATCCACCTTTACTGGGAAAAAGGCCTCTCCTTCCTTCTGTCTTTCCTTCTAATTAAAAGAAGTTACCTCCGCAGCCCTAGGACAGGACCATGGTACTGCTGCGGGTGCAAGTCTGCCTTTTCCAGAGTACACCAACTCACAGGGTACATCTTTGGTAAATCAAGGATGCTGATGAAACTTCACCTTTGTGTTCAATTAAGCAGCAAAACAAGACAGATCTGTCCGAGCAACTGGGCCACCTGCACAGCCTAAGCATCTTCCAGACAACAACTTCTAGTTTCATTCCTCCATGAGACTCAATATATTTAGGAACGGCTACTGGAGGCTGATTAAGATGAAGACAAAAATCTAAGCAAGAAAACAACAGTTCAAGTATTTCAGAGCAGCCACTTGTCAGTTCAACAGGTTCACCTCTGCAGTTAACACGCTTATCCATAATGGTGACAGAACCGTTGGAGAGGTCCAAGCGTGAACGAGCACGATTGCTGGGACCTGTGGGATCAGAGAACAAGTGACTGCCACACAAGAATAACGGATTTCTAAACTATGCACAGACCAAGAGCAAGCAAAGCTCCTTTAAATACACCAAAGAGGCACAAATGACTTCTGCTCCGTGCTCACTATTGTTTCAACAGAAGGCTTCCTGGCGCAGGACTGAAAGGTTAGAAAATCATTACCACGTCTTCACTGTTTGCTAGTTCCTACAATGCATCTTTAAGAAAATGCGTCAAGCTTCCTCTCATCTTACCGTAAGAGAAAATGAACTGTTTTAAAAAACCGAAGAGTCCTTCCTGCAGTCGAACTCACCAATGCCCCAAAGCTCCACAGGAGTATCTTCCAAAGGAACGTCCAAACCGCAAATGCGTGGCTGTACTTCACTGCGATCTACTCGAACGTAAATTATTGTTATAAATGTAGATAGCAGCAAGAGTACTCAGCAGAAAGCACAAAACTTGCTGAGCAGCAGAGTGAACTCCAGTGGCAGGGAAGCTTGCTGGAACCCCGGTGCTGCTGCAGTGAGCCTGCAGAGTAAGTACACGAGCTAGATGCTCTGGAGCCAGCTCCACCGCGTCTACCCGACTTGTCTACAAACCCTCAAAAGCAGCCTGAACAGACCCAAGTTACGTCAGGTGACAACCCAGCATTTTATTCCATAAAAAACTCACTTATTTGCTATCTAGAAAGAGTATTTCCATGCTTCTGCGCCCAGTTCACTGCCTTCTGTAGCTCCTTGCTCTATTCTTTGGGCACAGTGGAGAAATAAAGCAGCAAGCTTTCAAACACTAGAGCTCTGCTGTGGGACATCAACATGAATCAAACCCTGCAAACCCAAATATTTTTTGTCAGATGGTCCTGCAGATACCATAAGATCATTTCAGAAGTCATGAGATTAAACCAAAAAACCAAAAACTCATCCCTAAAGCTCCCACAAAACATTTGTCTTTTATTAGCATAGTATTATGCTCATCTTTATCCTCTAGCTTCCCCAGGCTAGAGGAGAGCTAGCAACCCTTAATACATACTCTGAAAGCCCACAGAGGCGGCGGCAATGTGCAAACGGTTCCTCGCACTTAAATACTCCAGATCTGGCACATAGAAGCTTGAGTAAAGGGTAGGAAGAACAAGAAAGTGTCAATAAAGCTCACAAAAATTGAATGTAAAACTACTAAAATACTTTATCAGGTATGATCAAAGCCGGCATGAGGTTTTACAAACATTTAGTGGAAAAACTGGATGGGATATTCCTACACAGGACCAGAAAGGACATTTGAAATCCTCAGGTCAAGGAACCAGCTGGAAACCTCCCTGTTTCTTCAGGGAAATAAAGATAATTAAAGAATACGTTGTTTCGAGAAGTTCTGCAATGCATTTACTGGAATTTATACTGGAGGCAGTGTTATACGGAAAATATTTGCCTATACTTAGTATTGGTGTATTTGTCTGTTTTCTTGAATGTTAAGAGTCACAAATGCCAGCAAACAGAGCACATGAAAGCTTACCCTTATTTATGTTGGAACAAGGGAATTATTTTCAGAATTTAAAGCTTCTTGCAAACATTTAAAATTAGTGGCAAGAATTCCAATAAATATACAGAGAAACTATAAAATCATGTTAACCCCAAGGCTGGCATTAATGGGACATTTTGAACTGCCACATGCGGTTCCAGCCAGGTAAAGCTGCTGCACCTCAGAAATCAGTTACAAAAATGAGAAGAAACAGAACTCGCTTAAAATTCATCAATTTCAGTCTCGCTAATACCCCAAACTCATCGAAGTTCCTCTTTAATTCTTTGGTTATGACTAGTTAATGTTTCTTTTGCCCACCAGTGTGGTCCAAATATAGGCATGCTTCCTCCTCTGCTTCCTCCAGCTTCTCAGCACAACTGGGCAAAGGATTAAAAAAAAAA